CTGTCAACTGATGAGTGAATAAACAAAATAAGGTATGTCCAGACGGTAGATGGTTACCCAGCAACAGAGGAACGAAGCACTGATAGGTGCAGTAGAGTGGGTGGATCTCAAAAACATGCAAAGTAAAAGAAGCCCCTTCATATGGGATTTCTAGAAAAGACAGAGCTGTTGGCTCAAGATTGGGCTCTAGAGGACTTGCTGGGTGATGGCAGGGATCTGGGCAGAGCTGGGGAGGTGATTGCACAGGAGTGTGGATTCCCCACATTCAGACACTCAGAATGAGCAAGTTCTGTGATGTATAAAGTATACCTCCGTCAAGCTGTTTTAAGAAACTTGTTGAGGCTGGGATCAGTTTTAACAGTCTGTGCATTTGGTAAATACTTATTGAGGGCCTCCCCACAGAAAGGGAGTTGAAGCCCCATGGCTGCTTCTGCACATCCAGCTGCCTGGGGAGCAGGTGCTAGTGGGGCCTTCCCCAGGGGATAAGGCCTGACAGCAGGTTTCTAGGGTGGCCAGTCTGATTCTGGAAAACAAGGTGCTGCTGATAGGGAGAGGCTGGGCCCCTCCTGGGGGAACCAAAGGAAATGCACTTTATTCCTATCAGGTACGGTGATTTTCAATACAAGATAAGATTGTTTATACTTCAAGTTCTGTTTACTTTGTTGGGGGATACAGAAAGAGAAGGTTTAATTCTGTCAGGCTGGTAATTTTTGAAATTGCTACTTCAGAAGCTTGTAGGTTCTGATTGTTTGATCGATACCATCACACAAGTAGTTGATTTCAGTCTTGGTGTTCAGCATACCCTTTTTTATTTCTAGGCACAATCCTGGACTTGTGGGGCAAATAATGGTTGAATAGTGCTAAAAATTTAGGAAAAGAAATATACATATGTACTTTGACCCAGAAATTCAGTGGGATTAGGAGCCAGTGCTATAGCTCTGCACACCTCATGAGCAAAGGTGTGTTGACAGTGGCCTTACCTGCCTGCTGCCGCAGCCGGCAAAGCTGGTAAATAGAGTTGTGCATGCACAGACATCAAAACTACCTTCTCTTCTGCTGGGGAACATTAATATCTGCATCTGATAAAAGCAGCCGAGTATAGAACCCTGGGCAGTGGGAGGTGGACACTATTCTGTGTACACTGGCCATCTTCAGTACTGGGAGAGCCAGGAAACTGGACGGGCTAGGAAGGAGACTTAGATTTTTGTTCTCTTGAATTGCTTGATTTGTTCTTTTTACCTTGTTCTTATATTACCTTTTTAGGAGAGAAAAATCAAAACAAACAGAACAAGAGACTGGGTATGGTTCTCACGCCTATAATTCTAGCACTGTAGAAGGCCAAGGCAGGTGGATTGCCTGAGCTCAGGAATTCGAAACCAGCCTGAGCAAGAGATTCTGTCTCTAAAAATAGTGCCTGGAGTCCCACCCACTTCGGAGGCTGAGGCAAGAGGGTCACTGATGCTGCAGCCCTCTACCCTGGGATGACAAAGTGAGGCTCTGTCCCAAAAAACAAACACACAAAACCCCAAACAGAACAAGAAACTTTTAAAAAAATTGTCCTGAGCTTATATCCCACATGTAGGGGGAGTGTGGAGTGGAGCAGTTCAGTGGTGCATTTTAGGACATTAAATTTCCAGGCCCAGCAGCCCAGTGATTTCACTTTTAGGATTTATCCAACTTAAGCAATTAGAGATGTGTAAAAATATTTATATATAAAGATGTTCTTCATAGTATTAATTATAAGAAAGTTGGAAACAATTGGGTCAATACTAATGCTCTATTCCATGTGGCTATTTAAAGTCATGCTCTGAATTCTTCTGTGGCACATCTGACCCAACAGAATGGCTTGTAATAACAGAAATATTCTCTGTGCTGCCCTGTACAATAGCTGCTCACTGTATATGGTTATCAAGCTCTTGAAATGCAGCCAGTACCACTGAGGAACAGAACAGTCCGTTCCATTTAAATTAAATGAACTTAAATTTAAAAAGCCATATGTTCTAGCAGCCATTCTACTGGAAAGTGCAGTTCTAGAACCTAGAATAAAAATTGGCAAACTTTTTTCTATAAAAGACCAGATAGTAAGTGTTTTAGTTTTGCAAGCTTGTAGTGTCTGTCACAACTGTTCACTGTGCTATCGCCAAGTAAAGGCAGCCGTGGGATAGTATGAGTGAGTATGGCTGTGTCCAGTAGATCTTTATTTATAAAGACAAGGCAGCATAGCCAGACTCAGCTTGTGAGCCACAATTTGCCGACCACTCCTCTAGAAGGTGTTGCATCTGCTATGCTAACTATAAAGAAATGGGCTTCAGAAGCATGTGCAGGTATGTGCTATATAACCATGTTTTGGTCAGCGTAGACTGTAATGTGACAGTGGTTCTATGAGATTATAATACTATGTTCTTATGGTGGATGTTCTGTATTTAGATACATGAGTAATTAACACTGTTACAGCTGCATGCAGTGCACATGTTTGTAGGCCAGAGACAGTAGGCTAGACCATATAGCCTCAGCGTGCAGTGGGCATTAATTAGGACAAACTCATTTAAACAGCCAATAAAACTTGAATCATTTGAAACTCCTTTTTGAATATAGCATAAAAATATAACAAATAAAAGTTAGAAATGAGATCTCATGGTCCATGCTGTTCTTTTTATTAAAACATACCCTTTAGAATCTTTTTTTTTTTTTCAGACAGAGTCTCACTTCATTTCCCTCAGTAGAGTGCCATGGTATCATAGCTCATAGTAACCTTAAACTCTTGGACTCAAGCAATTCTCTTGCCTCAGCCTCCCGAGTAGCTGGGCCTATAGGTGTCTGCCACTGTGCCTAGTGCTTTTTCTTTTTTGAGACAAAGTCTCACACTGTTGTGGGGGCTAGAGTACAGTGGCATCATCACCACTCACAGCAACCTCAAACTCCTGGACTCAAGTGATCTTCCTGCCTCAGCCTCCTACGTAGCTGGGACTATAAGTGCCTGCAGTGCCTGGCTAATTTTTTCTATTTTTAGTAGAGCTGGGATCTTGTTCTTGCTCAGGCTGGTCTCAAACTCTTGGCCTCAGGCAGTACTCCCACTTCAGCCTCTCAGTGCTGGGATTATAGGGATTATAGATGGAAACCACCATGCATGGCCCATACCCTTCAGATTCTCCCATATCATACTTTCATTTCTGTCTTTAGAATTGTTGTGAATTTTTTAATTCAAAAAATTTTAGTGAAGACTTTTTTGTAGAAATTAAAAAATTCTATAATTCACATTAAAAGGCAAAGAATTTAGAGCAGCCATAACCATCAGTAGTAGAGCTGAGAGATTGCCACTCTCTGGTGTCAAAAGTTACTGAAAAGCTATAGCAATGGAGATAGTGTGTTGCTGGCACAAGGACAGATCGGTGGGACAAGAGAGAATCTGGAAGCGGACACACAACACCTGGAAACTGACCTCTGACAGCATTCAGAGGCAATTTAGTGGAGAGAGGATAGCCTGGCAATAACGATACCATAATAATTGGGTTATGATATGCCAAAAGGGAACTTGGATCCATGTCTCATATGCTATGCAAAAATTAGCCCAAATGCATCCCAAACCTAAAGGTAAAACCTAGAACTATCAAACTATGTTAAACCTTTGTGACTTTGGGGTAGGCAAAACTTTCTCAGATACATCACCAAAAGCACATTCTATAGAAGAATAAAGTAATAAAATGGACTTTATCAGAACAAAAATCTCTGCTCTGGCTTGGCTCAGTGGCTCATGCCTATAATCCTAACACTCTGGGAGATAGGGTATTAGGAGGTCTGGGAGGCCGAGGCAGGTGTATAGCTTAAGCTCACGTGTTTGAGAGCAGCTCAAGCAAAAGCGAAACCCCATCTCTACTAAAAATAGAAAAACTGAGGCAAGAGGATCACTTGAGCTCAAGAGTTGGAGGTTGCTGTGAGCTATGATGCCACAGCACTGAACTCAGGGTGGCAGCTTGAGACTCTGTCTCAAAGAAAAAAAAGTCTGCCCTTCCAAAGACTTTCTTAAGAGAATGAAAAGACAAACCAAAGACTGAAGAAGATGTGTAGAAATAATATATATGAGGATTCGTCTCCAAAATACAGAAAGAACTCTTGGAACACAGTAAGAAAGCTTTTTTAAATGGGAAAAAGAAAAAGATTTGAAAAGACGTTTCAAGAAAGATGACCTAGACAGCAAATCAGCAGCTGAAAAGATGTTCATTGTCATTACTTATTTGGGCAAAGCAAGGTAAAACCATGAGGAAATACATTACACCCTTTCAGACTGGTCTAAGTTTAAGATTTGAGTAAACCAAGTGCTGGTGAGGACAGTAGAAACTAGAACTCTCACCCACTGCTGGTGCCATGTGGAACAGGGTAGCCACCTTGGGAAAAGTTACATATATACCTGTGTCTGATCCAGCCATTTCACAACTGGGTACTTGCCCAAGCACAGTGGAAGCCCATTTCTGCGTACGTAAAACGGTCACAGCAACACTGTTCGTGATAGCCCCAAACTGGAAACAACTCAAACACATATCAGGAGATGAGTAACTAGGTAAACTAGTGTATCCACATAGTCTAATGCTTCTCAGCAGTGAGAAGGAGTGAAAGCATACTGTATCATGGATGGATCTCAAAATGGTTATGCAGAGTGAGGGAAGCCAAACTAAGAAAAGAGCATGTACTATGCACATATTATGTACGGTTCCGCTTACATGAAATTCTAGGGAATGCCATCTGACTGACATGACAAAAGGCAGGTTGTAGTCACCTGGGGGTGAGGGTGAAGCAGGTGGGCTGCATTAGAGAGGGGTCCAGGAAATGAGGGGTGATGGGTTTCTTTGCATGTGTGTCCTTGTACCAAGTCTGCGTAGCTTGTTATGAGTCACTAACACCTCATATAGCCGTATATATATGCAAACTACACTGTGGCACTTTATGCCTTTGTCTTTGTCTTGAGAACTGTTTTGAATTTTTAGGGTATCTTTTTCATCCCTCAGATAGTCGTCCTGTGTTGGGCTGTCGGGAGCTCGTGTCCAGGAACCTGTCCAAGATCCTTCCTGCCCTCTGCCACGACATCTCTGACTGGGTGGTGGGGACCAGGGTGAAGGCGGCACAGCTGCTGCCTGTGCTGCTGACCCACGCTGAGGACCACATCACACAGCACCTCGAGGTCATCCTCAGGACCCTGCTCCAAGCCTGTGACGATGATGAGAGAGCTGTGGTCAGCAATGTGAGTTGCCTTGTTTGGTCATTTTATGCAGCTCTGACCTGCAGTGTAGTCCCCGCTAGGTATGCAGGCCTGTCCATAATGACAGAAAGACACGGTCATGCCCAGTCCCTGGCAGCTGCTGGTCTGTTTTCTGTCCCTGTAAATAACAGTGTGTTGAAGGTGAATCTTCCGTGCTTGTCTCTAAGCACAGTCAGGCGTGTGTTTCTGTGTGAGTGTTGTATAAACCCGCTGCTCACCGGACAGGGGCCAAGGACCAGGCTGCTAATAGAGACATGGAGATCCTGGGAGTTCAGCTCCACTGTGGGGACATTCAGGCCCTTCCCAGCCTGTGAGGACTATGGGTGACCCGGGCAGATGCCCTAGCCATCCAGTGGATAGTGTCCCTGGTACCTTCCTCTTTCTCACTACCCGTTGACAGCTAGACAGGTGGTCAGTGCCCTTGTGAGCTGGAAGCATCACCATCTAGCTCACACCTTTCTCACATGACTGTTGGAGGTTGGGCAGTGTCCCGGCTGACAGATACCACCTATGGACCATGCACCAGTCCCATGGGGGTGCATCTTCGTGCTCAGGGGAATGACTAAAGCTTTCACTGTAGGTTTTAGTCCAAAATACCCTTCTCATCTTGAATCTCAGATTCCATTGCACAGAAACTTTTGCTAATAGGTTTGATGTTTACTGTTCTAAGTCATCATTACTGATTTAGAATACATGTTGCTGGATTTATGTTTTAGAAACAAGCCATTTGAAACCTATTATTTACATAGCATATGGGTTTTTTTTTACTTTTCAAAAACTAAAATCAATTTAAAGTTGCATATAGGCTCAGCACCTGTAGCACAGTGGTTATGGCGCCAGCCACATACACTAAGGGTGGCGGGTTCAAACCCGGGCTTAGCCAGCTAAACAACAGTGACAACTGCAACAAAAATATAGCCAGGTGTTGTGGTGGGCACCTGTAGTCCAAGCTAACTTGGGAGGCTGAGGCAAGAGAATCGCTTAAGCCCAAGAGTTTGAGGTTGCTATGAGCTGTGACATCATGGCACTCTACCGAGGGTGACATATGAGACTCTGTCTCAAAAAGAAAAGTTGCATATAATCCTTTATATGACATATAGCTTCAGTTTTTGGATATCAAGTTTATCACTAACAGAGCCAGACTTTGTGCAAGGGTTTTTTGTTATTCAATACAAAACTCTTAATCTTCTGTTTGACATTATTTTATAGCCCCCGATCTAATTTTATGCAGGATGAGGCTGATTAAGTGATAGGTAGCATTAGCACACGATCTGTGAAGTTGGTAGGCTAGTTGGGATCTGTGAGAAAGAATGTGCTGTACATGCAGGACGCTGACCCAGGAGGGCATGTTCTGGGTGAGCCTATCATAGACAGCTAGAGCAGGTCCCCAGCACAGCTTCATGGGGACCTCAGTGAGCTCCTGCCACAGTGTACAGGCTGCTGGCCTCTCTGTGCACCACCCCCAGCACCCCTAGGTCAGTGTTCTGGGAGCTGTCCCAGCCTGCCCATCCTTTATGGGTCACTGTGGATCCTTCAAACCACATCTCAGCTCTGGACTGATTCTGCCATAACGTTGAGCCCTTTCCTCCTGACGCGAGTGTAGAACCATGATCATATGTAACCACATGCCAACAGTCCTTCACGTATCTTTTTTTTTTTTTTTTTGAGACGGAGCCTCAAGCTATCCCCCTGGGTAGAGTGCCATGGCATCACGCTCACAGCAACCTCCAACTTCTGGGCTCAAGCGAGTCTCCTGCCTCAGCCTCCCAAGTAGCTGGGACTACAGGCGCCCGCCACAGCGCCTGGCCATTTTTTGGTTGCAGCCATCATTGTTGTTTGGCGGGCCCAGGCTAGGGATTCGAACCCGCCACCTTAGGTGTATGTGGCTGGCACCTTAGCCACTTGAGCCACAGGCGCCGAGCCCTTCACATATCTTAACACCCATTCTTGGGTCCAATTTCCTAGGGACCTCTGTCTTTTTGCCATAGGTTTGTTAACATAGGATCTGAGAGAGGTTGGTTTGTTTTTCTGACCCAGGTCTATGTTGGACTCTGCCGGAATCACTGTTTTCTCTCCTCTTCCACTAGGGTGAGGTGCCATGGAGCAGGGGCCTTTTAAACTTTCTGTGCCCACCTTAACAACTAATGCTCTTCCTCTTTCTTTCATCCTGTCAAGGGTCATGCTACCTAGATTCCAGCCTTGTTCTGTGGCGCACATCAGATTGCCACCTCCACTTCCATCCAACTGAGCTCTTTTGAGGCAGAACCCAGAGCAACTCAGAAGGGGTGGAATGCATTGGAAAGGGGAGATGGGTGAGAGCGAGAGATGAGGAGAGATAGATGGGGAGAGACAGAGAGATAGGAAAAGACAAGGAGAGAGATGGAGAGAGGCAGAAAGAAAGAAGGGGAGAGGCAGGGAGAGATGGGAAGAGACAGGGAGAGAGGCAGAGAGAGATGGGGAAGGACAGAGAGAGATGGAGAGAGGCAGAGATGGGGAAGGACAGAGAGAGATGGAGAGAGGCAGAGATGGGGAGAGACAGAAAGGGATGGGGAGAGGCAGAGACAGATGTGGAGAGGCAAGGGGAGAGACAGAGAGAGGGAGAGAAAACCCGGGCAGGGTGGTAGTGCTGTGGGGGCCCAGCCCATCCACTCCTGCTTGTGTCCTCTCAGCGGCCTGGTTTAGAACTCCAGTGAGTAGGAGTGGAGTAGGGGAACAGAAGGTAGGGTGAGTTCTCATTTTTCTGTTTTGTGAGAGTTCTTTTAGCTTTTTTAACTTTCTATTTTGAAATAGTTACAGATTCCCAGGAGGTTGGACAGCATGCACAGAGGTCCCTTACCCTTCGTCACCTCTCCAGGAGCTGTCTGTGTGACTGACATGCACTATCAAAGCCAAGAGCCCACTGGTGCCTGCTGCTGGCCTGAGCAGATGCCCAGCCCCCACAGAGCTCCTCAGTAGCCATTTCTACTTACCCACTTCCTGGTAGCCTCTTGTCTGCCTCCATTTCTATGCAGTGTGTGGCCTTGGGAACTGGCTTTTATCACCCATCACAATGCCCTGAGATCAGCCTGTGTTGTTGGTGGATCAATAGTTGTCCCTTCTTATTGCCAAGCAGGATTCCTAGGTGTGGAAGTGCTGGTGTGTATTTAACTCTTCATTAGTAAGACATGAAGGTTGCTGATACTGGAGGAGGGGCACATGGAAAGCGCCTAAATATTGGCCTCCCATGAGCTGGACCCAGGTCAGGTCGTGTGTTCAGTGCACCAGCTGGGGCCCTTGTCTCCTGGAAATTCTAAGGGGCCACGAAAGGATGAGTATGCTAAGCACACGCCAAGAGCTTTCTCACACACTCTGTTTCCTCATGTTTTCTTCTCATAGTGTGTAAGATCTGCAGAGCTGATCGGAACATTCGTCCCCCCAGAGGTGTTCCTGAAGCTAATGTTGGCAATGCTGAAGAAGTCACCCTCCCCCTCCAAGCTCTTAGTGCTGGCATCCGCCGTTCAAGGCTGCCCCCGTGAAGCCCTCCAGCCGCATGTGAAGGTCATCGCCATGGACCTGGCTCAGACCCACATCTGTCAAGCATCTGAAAGTGTAAGAGCACAAAAGAGAGGACAGGCGGTATCTCCCCAGGGTGCCAAGTGTCGTACCTGACAGTGACCATCAGTGAGGCCTGGTGCTCTGTCCCCACCAGCACCACAGCTACTCGGAATATCCAGCAGAACCTGGGTGCTTGTGCCAGTGGCCTCTTGTTTAGGGACCTCATTCTGCTTTGTCCAGCACTATAGCCCCTGGTGGCTATTTAAGTTAATTATACCCACAGGTGGCTATTTAAGTTAATTACTGTGTCCCTTTCTTGGTCCCTCTGGTCACTTTTCATGTGTGGGCTACCTTGTTGGACAGCTCGGACAGAACACATCTGCTCTAAGGAAAGTTCTGCTGGACTGTGCTGCTGTGGGTGTCCCAGGGCTTGTGGCTGGCTCTCCGGGCAGCCACTCGCCCCTTCTGCTGGTTTGGATGTGCTTGGCCTCAGTGACCATTGGGAGATTGTTCTGCAACCTGCTGTTTGCCAAAAAATTTGTTTTATTTTAAATTGAGTGGTAAATCTATTACATCTAAAACTGAAAGCACCTGGGTTCTTGGGCTTAATCATTTGGAATAATTTATAATTGTTTTTGATTGAAGAAAAAGTATGACTTTTTGTTTATCGGTTGTGTAACCTACACGCCTTAGCACTGGATGGCACACCCAACCTTCTGCAGTTCCAGGGAATAAGAGCCTGCCCCAGTCTCTCCTGTCTGATGCCCAGGGGCTGGTGCTTCCTCAGCTTTGTAGTTTCCCACAGCTATTACAACCACAAAGCTGGGGGCAGCTCAGCTTGTCCCTGTCCTTTGTCAAGGCCCTTCCCTCTGTCCTCAAAGTGAGAGAGTGGTGCAATTCACAGTTGTGTTCATAAACTATTTTAAGCTAAGAAAAAAAAAAAAACTATTTTAAGAAACCTATAAGACTGTTTCTAAAATACACAGAGGGGAATAGAGCTTAAGTCTCAGGAAGGGAATGTGGATAGGCTCTCTGCATGGTGTCTTCAGCGCCATTTCAACTTTTCCCAAACGCATTTTTACACACCATCAAATCTATGTAAGTTCTGCACTTTTAATAACAGGTGGTTCTAAGAATGATTTTGATTCCTATATATAGATTTGCCAACTAGAAGCATTTTTTTTTCCTTCAAGGGTATAACTTGAAAATATGTTTAAGTGTTTAAATATATGTGTGTTTAAATACATGTCTTACAGTACAGCAAAGAAAATGTGATTTTCATATCTTAATGTTGGTTACAGAAAATGTAATCACCTGATTTTTAAGTTCAGATCCTGTATTTGACCTTTCCAGTTGTATTGAGAAAAATTTATTTTATCTTATAAAGGAAGCGAGACCCCTCTGACCAAGTCTGGTCATGCCAAAGGGTCTCCCAAGGTACCAGCCCTGCGTCCTTCCAGTATGTGAATATATTCTAGCCCTTTGGCCAGGCTGAGGTACCAGTCATCATAAAATCTCAAGGCATTTTACTCCTTTTACTCTTTTTTTTTTGAGACAGATTTTCTTCCTCTGTTGCCTGGGCTGGAGTTCAGTCTTATCCTCATAGCTCACTGCAACCTCAAACTCGAGGCTCTAGAGATCCTCCTGCCTCAACCTTCTGAGTACCTGGGACTACAGATGTGCACACCTGGTTAATTTTTTAAATTTTTGTAGAGATACGATCTCAGTTTTGCTCAGACTGGTCTCAAAACTCCTGACCTCAGGAGATCCTCCCGCCTCAGCCTTCCAAAATGCTGTGATTACAGGCATGACCCACCCTGACTGGTCCATTTTACTCCTTTCTTAACAGACTTAAATTTTTCGCAAGAAAGGATAAACACACACAGGCCTCAATCAGTCATCTCTGTTTCAGAGTAGAAAACAGCTCTGTATTATTTTCTCTGGCAGAGTTTCAGGAGATACATGCTTTATTTGTATAATTTCTCTTGGGAGGTAGTTTATGTTTCCTTCAATTATGTTTTAGTAGCTGTAAGGGAAGGTTAAGAACATCTCTACAGAATAAACTGAAATTTTTAAAAATCCTGCATTAAGCAAAACAAAGAAGTTCATGAATATGTATTTCAAACTGCAAATCTAACTTGAACCACACCTATGTGGTCAGCAGGGAAGTGGGGTTTTTAGTAGAAACTGCTTTCCCAGATTGTACTTGGAGCTCAGCTGAAAGGACCCTGATCCTCTTTGAAACGGGTATGGTGATAACCAGTTGAAACAATGACATGACTCACTGATTCCTGTTTAACTACAGAAAATGAAGTTCAGGGATTGTGTTGCCATTAATGGGATGTAAAAGTCTCTTGTACTTTATCTAGTGAATTAAAATTTTTACAATCTTAGATAACATTGTTTTAGAAGCAAAAAATATTGAGTATTATTTTCTGTCATATCTTTTTTTTTTCATTCTTTGTGTGTGTGTAGGCAGACATTGAAAATGCTCTGGTTAAATATAGAGAAATCTATAAATGTTAAGTCTTGTTACTTCTTCAGAGATATTGCCATATTCATAGTAGGAGGCCTGAGCTTGCCGTGAGGGTGTGTGGTTCTCTGTGAGCCCAGCACCTGGGCACATAGTGAGCAGCTCAACAAAAGCACAGCAGCCCATGTCTTTTAAGAGTATCCTTCTGATTTGAATTGAAAAATGAAAGCTTCTCAAATTGATACGTATCATTATAAATCATTCTAGCAGTTTACCAAGATATGTCCTCAGAAATCAATCCAGGCCTGAAAGAAATGACTGTGAGAAAAGTTAAGGCTGGAATAAAACAGACCTGTGGCTTATCCTAGGAATTAGGGCACTCCATGCATACAGTCCGCATACAGCCCACAGTCGGGGGTCCAATTCTTCCAGGGCAGATGACATGCTGTGTGGAGCTATACCTTCAGTGGGTGGGGCATAGTAAGGTCTGGGGGTATATGGACCACCTGCTATGATACAGAGGAAATTTTTTGTTTAAACTTTGATGCTTAATGTATATAACTGGTGAATGAGTCATAGAATTTCACAAGTGATTCAGAAATTTAGAACTAATCGATTGTCTGGGTAAATAATTACCAAACTTTTTTGGACTCATACCCCCTTTAGTAAAAACAAAGTTTTAAGTGTATACCTCCAGTATACATGCACTTGTTTATAAATTGTATTTATAAAGTACATACACAGCCACTATCCCAACTCATTCTGACTTTATGAAACATACACAAAGCAGACCTGTTAGAAGGGTGTTGTAATAAATGAATACAGGTGGAAGCTTTAGGACTTCCCTTGCATCTGCACGGCAACCACTTGCACCTCACAGGCTTCAGCCTCCCAATGAGGAGTGGCTGAGGCTGAAGCTGGGATGAGAAGTGATTTGACCAGCTGCCTCTGTCACGCACCAATCACAAAGCATCTCTGAACCATAGAATTTTGTTTGTTTGTTGTTAAAACTTAGTATTATATAAATATTCAAAAATACATAAAAGAAGAATAGCAGGATGTACTTGTGTGCACCTGTCACCTGGCTTCAGTATCTACCAACTCTTTGTATTGTTATATCTGCCTTGTGCCACTTTTCTTTCTTTAACTTTGTGGAGAACGAGAACTCCGGGGTATTGTAAAGGAAATTGAAAATATGCTGTCATTTCACTTATAAATACTGCAGTATATATTGCTGCCATGGGATAACTTTTTAAAATATAACTAAACTGCTGTTAAGCATTTCACAAAATGAGCATAAATCTCTTGGCCCCCAGTCTGTGTTCTGTCTCCCATTTTGTCCCAAGTATACCCTTAGCCTAATCTGTGTGCCCAAATCCTGGCACTTGTGATTTAGCGCAATGGCTTTGTCCCTCTGACCCTGCCGTATGCTGCTCTCCCCCTAGGACCTCTACCTGGAGCGCCTGCTGCTCTGCGTGCAGGCTCTGGTCTCTGTGTGTCACAAGGACTGCAGTGAGTGCAGCTTGCAGCTTCTGGAAGTGCTGGTGACTGTCATGGCTGGCTCAGGTACCACCAGCCTCAGTGACAAGGTAAGACTGAAAGTACTCTTTTGCCAGGGAAGGCCATTTTCCATAGAAGGTAACATCTCCCTCCTTGGAGCTTGTGCTTCAGGCCTCAGGTCTGCCTACTGATCTGACCGGCAAAAGTGGATAGGACAGTACTGAGGTAGCCTCAGAGAATGTCCCCTTCAGCTACCATAGTATGTTAGCATCTGGAGAAGACAGTTGTTTAATATTAGAGTCTGTAGCAAAGGAGCAAACAAGAACTAAGACCGTTGTGACCCTTAAACTTATACATTGAAGTGGGGTTTTAGAGAACGTGCATGTGCAACTAAAAGTCTGGAGAGAAAACATGGTCATAATTTTCCTACTTTTTTTTTTTTTTTTTTTTTTTTTGAGACAGAGCCTCAAGCTGTCCCCCTGGGTAGAGTGCCGTGGCATTACAGCTCACAGCAACCTCCAACTCCTGGGCTCAAGTGAGTCTCCTGCCTCCGCCTCCCAAGTAGCTGGGACCACAGGCGCCCGCCACAACGCCTGGCTATTTTTTGGTTGCAGCCGTCATTGTTGTTTGGCGGGTCCAGGCTGGGGATTCGAACCCACCACCTTAGGTGTACGTGGCTGGCGCCTTAGCCAGTTGAGCTATAGGTGCCGAGCCATAATTTTCCTACTTTAATTGAAGCCTAGCCTTAAAAATTATTTCTGTTTCATTGACTCTATATTTATGCTTAAAATTCTTTCAACCCCAAGGGCAAGGGTCATCTGAAGACCCATAGGGTCTCACTACTTCTCTTGGATCTGAGACTTATCTTTTCCTTCCCATTTTGTTTCTCTGGACAGCCTTGAGCAGATTCTCTCTTTAGGAGATCTTCAGGCCCAAAAGTTCCAAAGGGAACCTCGCATCAGGGAGGCTTACTACCCTCCCTCTCTTTTCTTGGGGCCTCTTTAAGCTTTATTTCTCTCTTTAAAAGCAGTCTTTCCAAGGGTTATATATGTGCTAGCCAATAACTTGTCACTTGTAAGGCCAGAAATACCAGCAAATACACGGTAAAAGGTGGCTGGCTAGTCACCTCCCACCCTTCAGCCCCTCCAGAGCAGCACTAGCAGTCTGCACTTAATCCAGTTCCTCCAGTCCCTCATACCAGCCTCAGAGCAGTGCCCCAGAGGAAGCCTGCTTGCTTATCCTCAGGTGGGTCTGCACTGGCTTCGTGTAGACCCAGGCCAGTACAGCACTGCTCAGCCTATGCTTATTTGTCTGATTCCTCATCTATTGCATGAACAGCATCCATATGAGTGGTAACTGAGGCCTTGGCCCTGTCTCTGGCACAGCCACTTCTGGTAGATGTTCACAGTTGACCCAGTTATTCCCGAACTTGAGGGCCTGAGTGGTCTCATCCTCAAGGCAGACTCCAGGAGGGAAGTTTGAGCCTTAATAAGGATTATCTCAACCTTGACTTTATGCTTCCAGGCGCAGGAGGCAGTAGCCTTGCTGGCTGAGGTGGAGGGCATCAGCAGCCAGGACCTCTATCGCAAGCACATGGGCCCTCTGTTGGAGCAGCTGACAGCATCCCACAGTGACTGGACTGTGCACTCGCCAGAGCTGGGGCAGTTTAGTGTGGTCATGTTTCAGGCAGGTGAGTCCTGGCAGGTGAGTCCCATGTGGGCTGCGGCATGCTGCCTACCTTCATCATAGCTGGGAGAAATTTCTGCATAAACCAGAACTGAACTATTTTTAACTGAGGCATATTTTTAAAAAATAGCTAATAGTCACTCTTGCTTATGGAGAATGAGAATTTTAAGGAATAAAACCTTTTAAAAGAATGCTAAGAACATCCTATTAAAACCTTGGTGTGATACAGCTCTTTACAGTGTGGTCTAGGCACACATTTTTTACATTAAACCTTGAAAATGTGATTTTTCATGGCCTCTTTTTAGCCCATATTTTTCAAACACATCTAAATTTTATTGCAGAATTTAACACATTTAACCAAGTTAGTGTTTTGAGCATGTAATATAGAAGGACTGCAGCTCCAGCCCCTCTGAAATGTCAGCATTAAACATATCAAGCACAATAGCTTTTTCTTTCTTTTTTTTTTGCAATTTTTGGCCAGGGCCAGGTTTGAACCCACCACCTCCAGAATATAGGGCTGGTGCCCTACTCCTTTGAGCCACAGGTGCCGCCCCAGCTTTTTCTTCATTTGTCTCCTCAGTTCTCTCAAACACCATAACCTTGTGCTCCTCTGAATGGTCTCACCACCCATTTTGGTCATATAAAGTGTTGTAATTATACTCTGGGTCTAAGGATATATCCTATTAATATGTGACTCGTGCATATCTCAGAGATACAGTCATTGTTGTTGGAGACAGCCTAGGACCTACCAGAGGGTTGACCTTGGTGGCCTAGTACTGAATGACAATCCAAAATTATTCTTCATCGAGTATATTGAGAACTGTTCTGGAGTTCACTGCACCTGCCACCAACCTCTCTAAGGCTGTAGTGGCCTCTCTAAGATTTGCTCTTTGTGTTTGCAGTTTTTCTTACAGTGTTGGTATAACTGACTACAACTCAGAAAACAAATTTATTTGGGCCACATCTCATATTATACACCAGAAGACAGGAGAATTGGCAGTGTCCTGCTCAGGAACAAGAGTCATTAGCCCAGCCATTATCTTCTCAGAGTCCCTCTGTGCTGATGTATGTGCAGAATCTCACAGGAAGCATAGCATGATGTTTCCAGCACAGAGTCCTGGGAGTACAGATGATTTTTATTCTCTCTCCTTTCTTCTTTCTTTTTTTCTATTTTTGAAGTTTTCTATAATGGACATGTACTGCTATAATAAGCAGAAAACCTTAAGATTAAAGTAACTTTTTAAGTAAGAGAAAATTTTTAATTGTTCATTTTCAGAAGTTATTTGTTTAAATGGAGAACCACAAAGGAAGAACATAGATTTGACTGCATGTACATCTGGAACCAAAATAAAAGGGAGGGGGACTTCAGAAAACATAATAGTAAATGAAACAGTATAAGATCTGTGTTAAATAAAGCTCACATATACTGAGGATAGAAGCGTTAACTCCAAATAGGCAAAATATCTAGATTATATTTTTAAAAAAGAATTGAACTTAAATGCAGAGCGGGAAAATCTTCAGCCCTTTTCATAGTAATCTGAGGTTAGGCCACAGATTAGAATCTCATGCTCAGTGTTGCCCTGGGTTGTAGAACAGGAGCCTCAGTGTTGTGCTGGCAACACCATGAATGAGCAGCCAATTAGCAGGCTCTAGAATTGTCAGTACATACACAGCCAATTACGTAACAGCCAAATTCATAAGAATTTATCCTAAGGAAATAATTATGGAAGACGCTATATATGCAAATATTCAGCAGGGCACAGTTTAATACCAGGAATTGGAAGTGACCCAAGTACCTTACAGGAAGTTAAATACATAAGGATATTTCTGTGGAAAAGGGGTCCTGGCAGCAGTTAGAAAGGCCTTGTTCACAACATGGGCAAAGGGGTGGGGTTTGACCTGCAGGGAAATTAAGTGTGAGCACATGAGAAGGTCAGTGCTGTGAGGCATCCTTCAGATTTAGTTGGGTTTGGGGTTTCTCATGCTTCAAAGATAACCATAAGAGCCCTCAGAAGAAGCTGTCAGCCTGGCTCTTCCTCTCAACTTAGGGACTTCAGGTTCCTCTCTATATTTAGGCCAAAAGATGTGTCTTCTTTCCAGTTGAAGATGTAGGGAGAGTTTAAAAAGTAGAAATGGCATCAGAAGTTGCAGGGTGTCTGTCCTGCCAAGGCCTTCAGGAGCATGGTGTCAGGACTAGTGGAAGAGAACCTCACCTCTCAGATCTGACCTTGAGTTAGGCACAGGTGTGTGTTTCCTCATGGCAAATGTGAGCAAGCACACTCTGAAGGGAGCCTGTGCCCAGAAAGGAGCTCACTCCCAAGTAAACAGCCCAGACAACAGATGGTGCCAACAGAGAGGGATCCATATCACTTGGGGGTGGCCCAGTCATATCTGTCCATCTTCCTCACCCTCGGGCCTGCAGGGAGGCAGTGCACATACAGGGGCATTTGTGGGGCATCTGGGACATCCTTATGTTGTGGTTCATTGAGGTTTATTGGAGGAGAGGTGGACAATCCTGCAGTGGGAATACAACCTATTTCAGGAGCTCTTGTGAGCATCAGTAGCACTGTTTGTGCAAATGTCTATGTTCATTATCTGGGCAGAAAAGCAAGACCCAATGGATGTCCAAGATTCCATAACAATGTTCAGACTCTGCACACAGCTGAGCAAACCTGGCCTCAGCTCGGCCTTAAAAACTCTGAACTTACCCTGCCTGTGGAAGATATTTCACTAGATATATTTCATTTTGAAAAGCAGTTCTTAAAAAACAACTGTAATTTTCAGAGTACTGATTTTCTAGCCCAGTGTAGGAAGCTGCTGCCCCGTGTGGTAGTGACTACAAACTACTGTGGTGTTGATACTGTCTAAACCATTTTAAACGATTGAGAAGACCAGGCAGGAGGATCACTTCAGGCCAAGAGCTCAGGAGCAGCCTGGGCAACATAGTAAGACCCCCATCTCTACAAAAAGTTTTAAATTTACTCGGGCATGATGATGTGTGCCCATAGTCCCAGCTACTCAGGAGGTTGAGACAAGAGGATCACTTGAAGTAAGGAGTTTGAGGTATGATTGTGCCACTGCATTCCAGCCTGAGTGACAGAGAGTGACAGAGTGAGAACCCATCTCTTACAAAAAAAAAATGTTTATAGCCAAGCATTGTGGCAGGCGCCTATAATCCCAGTTACTCGGGAAGCTAAGACAAGAGAATCACTTAAGCCCAAGAGTTTGAGGTTGCTGTGAGCTAAGACTTTATGGCACTCTACCAGGGACCTCAAACAAAAAAAAAGAAATGTTTGAGAAGAAGATTTGCTGCATCAGAAACAGCGTGTTCTGGCTCCGCCTGTGGCTCAAGTGGCTAAGGCGCCAGCCACATACACCCAAGGTGGCAAGTTCATATCCAGCCCAGGGTTCAAATCCAGCCAAACAACAATGATGGCTGCAACCAAAAAATAGTCAGGCGTTGTGGCAGGCGCCTGTGGTTCCAGCTACTTGGGAGGCCGAGGAATGAGACTCACTTGAGCCTAGGAGTTGGAGGTTGCTGTGAGCTGTGATGCCATGGCACTGTACCCAGGGGGACCACTTGAGGCTCTGTCTCAAAAAAAAAAGAAACAAACAGCCTGTTCTTTGGTCTTCTCCATACTGACTCAAGTCAGGAAGGCAAGCCCCGTTCTGATGAGGATAAAACCAAATGGAAGGGAAGAAGCCGCTCCAGGTAAATTCTGGTGTGTGGTTTGCGTATATTCTTTTTAATTTCCTAAAAGTGCTTTCACATCTTAAAATGCATTTACACCTTTCCCCTGAGCTCAGTTCAGAAGGGTTTCTGGGTGCCCCCCTCCCAGGGCTCTGCCCCTCAGGCCTCCTCTGCAGCTCCAACCTGCCTCTGGAGAGAGGATGCAGATGTGCTTGACCCCCATCAGTGTTAACATGTCCTGTGTCTGACCTGTAATGTTGAATATAATTGGCCCTTAGAGGCACCTGTTTTTTTATACCATAAGCAATGACTAAGCCCTATGTTTTTGAGGAATATATTTTCTCTTTATTAGGGAGAATTGTTTAACCCAGACTTTAAGTATTAAAAAGAATTTCTTTAGTCCCAGTTGTAAAGGATAGCTGGTGAAGTACACAGATTAAAATTGTTCTTTGCAAGAGGGGACTTATGACGTTGTTGGAACTCTTCCCTCTCATTTGTGATTGAGATGTTTCCACATTTGGTCTGTGCAGACAGAGGGTCTGAACAAACCGTGCACTCACTGTGCTGAGGGACCCACCTGTCAGCACAGCGGTACATTTTCACACCATGACTTCATTAATGCAGGTCCCCTCCTGGGCCCCCTTGTTCAGATTGCACGCATTGGAGGCACTAGGTTTTAGACACCAAGTCTTAAAGGAGTAAAGGTTTGAGTTGCTTGGCTTCTTCTCCAGCTTACTACAGACTTAGCAGAATGTGTCACAAAACAGAATGGTTTGAGAGTGGCTACTTGAAAATAGGAAGCTCTGCTTTTGGCACAGGCAAAGCAAAGAAGGTGTTTTATGGCCCGCAGTCTTGTGAATCACAGTTCTTGTCTAGACACCAGAGGCTGTTTCATTCCAGTCATGATGCAATGAGTTCCAAATACTAAACCCCACTACCTGTTTTTGAAATCTGCTTATAGCATGAGAAGAATTGCACCCACCCATTTCTTCCTCTTAATAATAAGGGTTTTTGTTTGTTTTTATGCAGCTCCGGCTCAAAGGGAGTAAAGGGGTGACAGCTGCAGAGTTTAATTTGAATAATTGATTTTGGTTATCTTTAAAATACTGCTTGACTTTAATCTTTTAAAAGAATTTGTAAAAGTATAAGAAAAACAAAAAAGTATGGTGGCACCTGTGGCTCAGTGGGTAGGGCACCGCAAGGGTGGTAGGTTCGAACCCAGCCCCGGCCAAACTGCAACCAAAAATAGCCGGGCATGTGGGGGGCGCCTGTAATCCCAGCTACTCAGGAGGCTGAAGCAAGAGAATCGCCTAAGCCCAGGGTCTGGAGGTTGCTGTGAGCTGTGAAGCCATGGCACTCTACCAAGGGCGATAAACTGAGACTCTGTCTCTTAAAAAAAAGAAAAAAGAAAAAAGGTTCACATATCTAATTATGGATAAGAGAGATTTTTGAGAGGTTAAAGTTCTCTCGGTTGCTTTTCTTTGGTTGTTATCTTAATGATCCAGAAAAGAAAGGAGTGTGATGTAGGAAAAGTTAACCAGGAATCGTGTGAATATGCTTGGGGTAGGCCATGCCTGGTGGTCTGTTCTGAGAGCACAGGCCTCCTTCAGGTCTGTAGAAGATTGCATATGCATGCCATGGAACCCAGTGCACACTCTGGAGGCCTGGCACACACCATGGAGTCCCAATGCATTGTGGAGCCCAGTGTATACACTCTGGCACTGGTGCTGCTATTTGTCTTCCAGGCCCTGCCCTTGGAGAGGCTCTGCAGCACGTGATCCCTACACTCAGGGCCTGCCTCCAGCCTGCCAGAGATCCCCAGATGCGCCTAAAGCTTTTCTCCATCTTGTCCAAGCTGCTGCTGAGAGCGAAGGACACTGTGGACTCCCAGGGGTAGGTCTGTTTCTGCATCTGTGTGGGCCCCAGTTACCTTCCCTCACCCCAAGGTCTGAGGTGGAAGCTTCTAGGTGGCTGCATCCAGTGGTGTGCCTGTCCTCACTGGAAAATAGCAAGATCGCCAGCAGTAAATGCACCACACAGAGCAACACTAAATCAGGGTCAGTATAATGTGGTCATTAAAATTCCATTGAATGAAAAAGTTTCAGGAAACATTAACTATTAATGGCTTATATATTAATTATCAGGTTTAAAAGCATTTTGGTACCTTTCAAACCTGACGGAATTGATTAAATCACTGTTGATGAGTAAAACCATGGAAATACTCTTCTATTACCTAAAATAACTTGTAGGTAGCATTAAAACATTAGGGCCTCTGGTTTTAAGGCTTTGCCATAAAAGAAAGGTACAGAGAAGCACCGGGAGAGAAGAGCAAGTACTGGCTGGAAACACCCAGAGCATGCCAGGACCAGTCCTCTGGGAGTGGGCTTCCGTGTATAGGAGAATACGGAGTTTCTGTGAGGCTGCTCTTGGGCCCTCCCCGTCATCCTGCTCACACCCCAGCCTATGGAGCACAGTGGGAGGTGGGGCCTGCTCAACTGGGTCTTGGGGTGGGGCATAGCTCCAGCAGCTTTTCATCTGGCTTTTCCCCTCAGCCCAGTTCCTTTCTCAAACTAAAATGTTTCCTCCAAAGAGTGTCTGCCCTGCTCATCTGCTCTCTGTGCCTTGGTTCCAGGCAGTTTCACAACTACCTTGAGACAGTGATTAAAGATGTCCTGGTCCCCAATCTGCAGTGGCATGCAGGCAGGACAGCCGCAGCCATCCGCACAGCTGCTGTGTCCTGCCTCTGGGCACTCACCAGCAGCGAGGTCCTGTCAGCCAAGCAGGTATGGTTCTGGGTGCATAGTCAGTGGAGTCGGGGCCTGCAGGCCTCTATGGCACCCCTAGCTGACAGTGCAGGAGGGGGCATGCACAAGCTCTCTGGGGCAGCAGCTCAGCCTCTACTTCTGGGAGCTGCACCAGCAGCAGACTGTACTCAACAGGCAGCAAGAGGGAGGAGGCAGGGGGCCTGCAGCTTGGCTGGGAGGGCAGGAGCGGAGACGCCAAGACTGCCAGTCAGTATTGACATCTTGTTTCCTTTGATAATCTTGGGGATTTGGTGAGGATTTGGTCTTCTTTCCTTAGGATTGCATATTGAATGTTCTTTATAAGACCAAGTTTTAATCACAGGATTCCAGCTGAAGAGGCCAGGGTCAGGCTTTCTGCATCATATTCATAAATTTCTCCCCCGATGCAGGAATTAGTACACAGGCTAGAAACGTGCTTAGACCTCCACATTTCTGCTTCTTTTTTGCTTGTGCCTTGGTATCATGAATGTGTGTTGTTGATGATAGAAGAGCCCCAGAGGCAGACGTGTGGCCAAGCACCTAGCAGTGTGTGAGCACTACCTCCTGACACACATGGCATTGCTCCTTGAGTCCAGTAGTCCAGAAGTATCATCAGATGTGCATTTGCACTGTATGTAGGTTTTGTGCCTAACTAGGGAGACCAAGTTAAATAAAAATTGTTCAAATCTGAATTTTAAAATCAAGAATCAAGGGCAGCACCTGTGGCTTAAAAGGGTAAGGCGCCAGTCCCATATGCTGGAGGTGGCAGGTTCAAACCCAGCCCTGGCCAAAAACTGCAAAAAAAAAAAATCAAGAATCAAATCTGTTTTCTAGATAAAGCATTCAAAAGAGTATTCTAAACTCCTTTATATTTGTCTCAAAACCAGGTCTTTTATAGGTAGGAGTACACAAACATTGCTCTTCATCCTTGAGATGGGCCTGACTGAATCACCTCTCCTGTGTGCTTACTCACTGCAGATTCAAGACATGCAAGGAACACTGATGTCTCACATTCTGACCACACTGGAGGAAGATTCTCAGATGACTCGATTAATTTCATGCCGTATTATTAATATATTTTTAAAAACGTCTGATGACACGATTGATCCAGATAAATTCATCAAGATTTATCCTGGTAGGACATTTTTTCCTTTTCAAAGCACATGTAAATAGAGTTGGCCCTCTGTATCCATTGGTTCCATTGGCATCTATGGATTGAGCCAACGTTGGATCAAAAATATTTAGAAAAAAAAAATTTCACAAAGTTTTAAAGAGTAAGGCTTGAACTAGCTGCACACTGTGTACTATGTGAGTACGTGCAAATAAAGTGATGTGTAGGTGTGGTATTAAATGTTATAAGTAATCTGGAGATGATTTAAAGCATATAGGAAAATGTGGTTATATGCAAATACTGAGCTTTGAGCATTTAGAGATTTGGGTATCCGTGGGGGGTCCTAGAATCAAGGACCCCAAGATATCAAGGACAATTGTATTTATGTTTCTCTCTCTCTCTCTCTCTCTCTCTCTCTTTTTTTTCTTAAGCAGGGTTCAAACTGAGCTTCAAATGCCATGGCCAGTCCTGGTGTGTTGGTCTGGCACTCTAACCACTGAGCTATGGCGCCCAGTTTACTTTTTACTTCTGGTTGAGTTGGGACTATGAGTCCAGACAAAGCTATGACATAAAATGTCAACAAATAGCATAACATAAGAAAATAAAGAAAACATCTTTCAGATTTCAGGAGTTACCCCTAGAGTTGGAGGAAGGGAGCATGTATAAGGCAGGGTGTCCTGCAGCTATAGGAATAGCCATATTTTTTCTTTGTTTCATTTTTTTGAGGGTTAGGGTCTTGCTATGCTGCCCATACTGGCCATGAACTCCTAGGCTCAAGCAGTCCTCCTGCCTTGGCCTCCCAAGTAGCTGGGATTACAGGCATGCTACAAAGCCAGGCTTGTTATTTTTTATTCATTTTTTTCTTTTGAGACAGTTGCAAGCTGTCACCATGGGTAGAGTGCCATGGTGTCACAGCTCACAGCAACCTCTAACTCTTGGGCATAAGCAATTCTTTTACCTCAGCCTCCCAAGTAGCTGGGACTATAGGTGCCCACAAATGCTGGGCTGTTTTTTTTGTTGCAGTTGTTATTTTTAGCTGACCCAGGCCGGGTTCGAACCAGCCAGCTTCAGCATATGTGGCTGGCGTCCTACCCACTGAGCTATGGGCACCACCCTATTTATTTCTTAAAACAGGACATAATGGCTCGGTGCCTGTGGCTCAAGCGGCTAAGGCGCCAGCCACATACACCTAAGGTGGCAGGTTCGAATCCCCAGCCTGGGCCCGCCAAACAATGATGGCTGCAACAAAAAAATGGCCAGGCATTGTGGCGGGCGCCTGTAGTCCCAGCTACTTGGGAGGCTGAGGCAGGAGACTCGCTTGAGCCCAGGAGTTGGAGGTTGTTGTGAGTATGATGCCATGGCACTCTACCCAGGGGGATAGCTTGAGGCTCCGTCTCAAAAAAAAAAAAAAAACAGGACATAACTATATAGATTTTCATTATCTATACTTTTTATATGCCAAAAATATTTAGTAATTTTTAAAAGATGGTGTTCGAGAATTCCTTGAAATGAAGACTAATCACTGGAATTTAAAACTAGAAGCATTGGATAAGCCCTAGACTGAATGTGGCCGAAAATGGAATTGGTGAATTGAACAGTAATTTTGAATTCACTGAGAACACAGTACAGAGGAAGATGAAAAGTGTGGAAGAGAAAGTAAGATGTGGAGCTTGGATCAAGGGGCATTTTCATGAGTCCCAGGAGAAGAGAGCAGAGGGATAGCAGAGGAATAACCATAGAAGAGACAGTGACTCCGAATTCCCAAAACTGAAGACAGATGTGAATTTTCAGATTCAAAGTACATGCTGAGCACTGCAGAGTCTGGGTGTCTTCCCACACATTCTCCCAAATTTGGTTTTTTGTTTTTATTTTTGTAACAACAAATGTCTTATTCCTACTATACTCTTTAAATTCTTTTTGAACAAGTTCCATCAATGTGATTTGTTGGCTGTCGGGATTGGTTGGGATTTCACCCACCTTTTAAAGTAAAAGCCACTGAAAAGATGCACATATTTGGGCATTTGTCCTATAGTTTATGGCAAATTCTATTGTAGTTATTTTCATTACAAATGGATTCCTCAGTAATCCCCCTTATTTTGCAATGCCAGTTCTGTGCTTCCCCAAGTGATGTGTTACCACTTGGCTAGACAGGGAGGAGTGCTCTGATGTATGAGCACAAATGCCCTGGACCTCCTGTGACAGGCCTATCAGCACCGACAGCAAGGCAGGCCCAACACAGTAGCCACTGAATGTGTCCAAGGTGATGACTGTTTACAAGGGATGACTCACACTGTTACAGAAGTGGACGTGCAGCTAGCCTTTCCTGTTTATAGCTAAGAGGCGGGACTGGCAGCCTAAACACAGTAGCAGAGCCTGGCTGCTGTGGTTCCAGGGTTGGCCTGAGCCGGTGGAAACACCCTCTTACTCACGCCCTGGGAGGAACATGTCCTTGTTCTTTCACTTTTATTAGTTGGCTGACATTGGACAAGACATGAGTTCCTTCATCTTTAAGGTGTTTGCAGTGACAGCGCTGCCTCACAGGGTACCTGAGCATCCAGTGAGGGTGCTCAGACAGTGCTCCATGGAGAGCTGGGTCTGCGATGACTTCTTTTCCTGTAACTTAAATCAGAGGTGGTGGCCAGAGGCCCAGCACCTTTCATGGAAGTTGTCTTGGTGGAACAAACTGACTTTGGGGGCCTTCATGCCTTTCAGTCAGCCAGGAACAGCCTGCTAAGGGCAGAGTGTGCCCTCTGAGCATGAAGGCATGCCCAGCCCAGCCCAGCCCTGTGCAGCTGCCAGTGTTCATCTTCTGACTCATTCGGTGGGCTCGATCTCTGACAATTTTCAAAAGATACACACTAGTGAGTGCCAAAGATTTTTTAAGATATGGGGGGAAAGCATAAATTTGATAAAAATCTTATCCAAGTCTAAGCAGATGGTTTGTGCCTATTATCCCAAGCACTCCGGGAGGCCAAGGCAAGAGGATCACTTGAGGCCAGCAACGTAGCAAGCCCCAGTTTCTATAAAACATAAAAATCTTATCTAGTAACTTAAAATTTCTACCCATCAGCAAGAATCACTCTGTTTCTAGCATTAGAATGGTCTTTTCATAGAGGCTCAGCAGAAATACAACTGACCGTAGCAAGTCAGCTATGAGCCCACTGTATAGGTTATTATACAGGCCACAGTAGGGCCTGGGTCACTGTCCTCCACCCTGTCTGCTGGGGCCCAGGAGTCCCACGAGACTGGGAGCACCTTGCATGTGGTCTCTAAGTGCATGGAAGTCTCCCCATGAGGGGTAGGTTTCCTGGGACCCAAGGTCAGGTGCCCACAGGCATGTGAAGGAATACCTTCAGTGGAAGTTTATACATGAAATATCTGCTCCAGGATTTATTCCTATCCTGGCCCCTTCTTTTCAGAACTCCTAAAACGTCTAGATGATGTCTCCAACGATGTTAGGATAGCAGCTGCCTCTGCCTTAATCACCTGGCTAAAGTGCATCAAAAGCACCAATGGCAAGTCATACTATCAAAGTAGCATTCAATACCTGTATAAAGAACTCCTCGTGTACCTTGATGATCCAGAAAGTGCCATTCAGGATGCAGTTTTAGGTAAGATTTCTTGTGACTTGTGCATAAGTCTGAAAACCTGTGCTGAGTGTGCCAATGGAGGTATTCATAGCTGAGCAATTTGAGCAGCTGGCAGGCAGCAGGTTCAGAGTTGCTGGTGCTCACTCAGCAGCCACACAGCACTCTCTCCCGAGAAACATCTTTCTTTGACGGTTGTAGCCACTAATACTGACTAAATAGAAATTAAAATTCAGAAATTTTTTAATACTATTAATTTGTTCAAAATAACAATAGTAAACCCATTAACACAACATGTGTTTTTGAAAAACGTGTTTTCCAAAACAGAGTAACACAAAGAGTAGCATTATATTATGCTTTTGCAAATCTCTTGGACATCTAGCTTGGTAGAAGACAGTCAGGTCTTGACATCATTGCCGCCTTTGTTCAGTCAGTTGTGAGACACATTGTTTTGGTTGAAATACATGAAAAGAACCTGCCCTCACCTCTGGCTTCACCCTGCCCTCACCTCTTGGAAAAGAGAAGAGATTTTAGTAGCCTTTCCTGGTACTTGTGGGTGTTCTTTGATGTTGTGTCGACAGTCACAGGCGAAGGTTCCCTGAAGTCTGCTTGCAGGACAGACTTGGAAACCACGTTGAGGACCCTTTTAGTGCTCATTTTGATAAAATTCACTGGTCCATCTCACACTTTGAACGTAGTGACTTTGCTTTTGTAATGTCATTTGAGAAACGTTATACATATCTTTCCAATGTGGATACATTTCACTGTGCAGTATCTAAAAAATCACATTCGTCAGCCTCAATCTCAGGAAAGAGTCTAACCTTATAGTGGCAAAGACATGTTTTTTATAATTCTGATTTTTTGCTTAAAAGTTTGAGTTTTATCCTTGGCCACAAATACTGTCAGTTGTTCTCCTTGGGGTGATAGACCCACTTGATTCATTTTCAAGAAAATGTTCTGCCAAATACTGGGTCTGCACAACCAGAGTTTGTTGTCAGCCAGCTGGGCTTCAAGGAAAAACAACACTCTGGAAGAGCTGCCAGCTCCGCTCCCAGCAGGCGCCTCGTGGCTGTACTTACCACATGCGTGCTGACGCCTGTGGGCCTGAGCCATCTTCTGCATCATTACTGCCAACGTGAGCACAGTCATGGGTACCTGTGAGTGTCACTACAAACATGGTTTCGGCCCCTGAGATCCTAAGAGCACACTTTGAGAACCTCTGCATTGACTCATGAGGTCAAGGTGTCTGCAAGTGAGTGAGTGCACCAGCACCCGGGATCATCCCGAGGCCTAACCAGTGCTCTCTGGGTAACAGGAAGTAGCTGGGAAGTAGAGACTCACTAGACACTGCTTAAAATGACAGTAGCAGCCAGTGCATAGGCCCAAAGTTGTGTCCAACTGCCTGGTAGACACCACTGCCCTCCCTATAGGGTCTCATGCCTCTCAGTGGCCATTGTCCTCTTCAAGCCTGAGGGCTGAGACTTAAGTCCTACTGGCCCCCATGTTCACACCTGTCTGCGGAGTCTGGTCATCTCCTCTCTGATCACTGTTGCTACCCTGACCTGCCCTCCTTGCCTCACCCAGCCCCGGTCAGAGCCACTTCCAGCCCCACAGCACCTACTGCCCACGTTGGCTCCTTTTTTCTCTAACATGTCACTGTGAACACTCAACACATTTGCCATCTTGATTCTGGTCATTAGCTGCTGCTCCCCAGGTAAACGTGAGCTCTATAGGATGGAGTTTTGTCTCCTGCTGCATCCACACTACCCGGCACACTGTATGTTACATGAATCAGCATCATGTTCACTTCATCATCAGCACTGTTCATTTTTCTTTTCTTTTCTTTTTTTTTTTTTTTTTGAGACAGAGTCTCACTCTATTGCCCTGGGTAAAGTGCTGTGGCGTCATAGCTCACAGCAACCTCAGACTCCTGGGTTTAAGGAGTCTCTTGCCTCAGGCTCACAAGTAGATAGGACTACAGGCATCTGCCACAACGCTTAGCTAGTTTTTCTATTTTTAGTAGATGGGGGGTGGTCTAGCTCTTGCTCAGGCTGATCTTGAACTCCCGAGCTCAAGCAATCTACCTGCCTTGGCCTCCCAGAGTGAGCCTTCTCCCAGCCTGTTCACCTTTCTAAGCCAATTTATTTATTAATACAGAAACTATTTCTGAGCCAAAAATGTAACTTAGGCTGGGCACAGTGGCTCATGCCTGTAATTCTAGCATCTTGGTAAGCCACGGCGGGTGGATCGCTTGAGCTCAGGAATTTAAGACGAACCTGAGCAAGAGTGAGACCCTGTTTCTACTACAAAGGAAAAAACTGAGGCAAGAAGATCACTTCAGCCCAAGAGTTTGAGGTTGCTGGGAGCTATGATGCCACAGCACTCTACCCAGTGTGACAAAGTAAGACTCTGTCTCAAAAAAAATAGACTGTGGGGGGTGTTTGAAAGGGTGCTTTCAAGTTTTATTCATATTATAACTATTATTACTGATCCAACAACATCAGGAAAATTGAAAATGCTTTTACAGATGTTTTAATTTTAATAGGAAGCTAATTTGCATATACCAGTAAGCTTGGTTTGATATTATCCCTTGCATAAAGGTGTTCTGCTGTTTTACAGAGGTCCTCAAAGAGGGCAGCACCCTGTTCCCGGATCTACTGGTAAGGGAGACTGAGGCTGTCCTCCACAAACACCGTTCAGCAGCCTACTGCGAGCAGCTGCTACAGCACGTGCAGGCTGTACCAGCCACACAGTGACCATCTCCGCTTCAGAGCCAGTGCTGCACACACATCCTTGCCTGTGCTGGAATTTGTGGCTTTTAAACCTCTTAAACAGGGTACCTTTTTGTCAACAGCCTAGGACGTTCATAGCAAGACTGACAGCAAGAAGAATGTGCTCCAGGGAACCTGCCTGCTGGGGTCCTAGGACAGCAGCCTCAGCGGGTTCTGTCATAATGTCTCACACTGAGAAGTCTCCCAAAAACCTACTGCTAATTAATTTGAAATTAAAAATCAAGATCTGCTGCTTATACTGGCAGCTACATCAGCTTCTTTTTTTTTTTTTTAAACTTTACATGTACTACTAGGTCAGTCCTGCTTAAATGCCCAAAAAAGTTCTTCACTATTTAACAAAAAAAAGAAGGGAAAGGCAAATCGTTTAAAAAGAAATTTCATCTTCCTTAGGTTTCTATTTCCTGAAATTTAATATTTCAGTGAACAGACTAAAAAAAAATTGGTATCTTAACAGTGAAATTTCAGTGAAATTTCTCCCTTAAATGTACTGTAACTTCCTAAGTTATATAGATATACGTGGTCATGGCATTTTTAAAAAATCAGTTCTAAATTGTTCGCTCTTCTACAAGTGGCAGTAAAGTGTGTTAAATTCCCTAGCACTTGCTACACCCAAGTGCCTAATCAATTTCGTTTTTTAAATGGATATTGTTACCATAAGCCATTATTTATATTAACACCAGGGGGAAATGCTGTGTATATTTTCTAACAATCAAATACTAACATTTATGCTTTCATGTTTGAAAATTTAATTAAAAATATTTATTTTAATTAATTTGTATGCTTGTTTTTATGGATTTGATAATTAATTAACATGTTGAGAAAACAGCTGATTTTTCCTTAGATTTAGCCTCACAGTGATCCCAGCTTTGAGAATTCTGGGCTGTGAGGACCCTGGGTTCCTCTGGGGGGGGGCCTGTCCAGTGTTCTTGTTGTGTTCTCTCTGGACACCAGGTGGCAGGAGTTCCAAAAAGTTAGGGCAGTCACCACGGGTCTTGTTTTCTCAGGGTTGGCAGAAGCAGAAGAAAATCCCCGTATAAGTGGACCTGTGTAGTTCAGACCTCTGTTGTTTAAAAGTCAACTGTAGGCCGGGTGTGGTGGCTTACGTCTGTAATCCTAGCACTCTGGGAGGCCAAGGCAAGTGGATTGCTTGAGCTCAGGAGTTTGAGACCAGCCTGAACAAGAGTGAGACCCCAATTTTACTAAAAATAGAAAAATTACCTGGGCATTGTGGCAGGCACCTGTAGTGCCAGCTACTCAGGAGGCTCAGGTAAGAAGGATCACCTGAGCCCAGGGAGTATTCAACCCAGGGCAACAGAGTGAGAATCTGTCTTAAATAAATAAAGTCAACTGTACTAAAAATGTGCTTATTTGAAGTTCTTATTATAATTTACTAATAACTGCAGCAATTGTTTTGATTAGAACTTAGACCAACAAAAGATTTCACTGGGTGTCCTTTATCACTGACATGGTGCAGAATGGCCGGTGTATGGTCTTAAGAAAAGGCAGAGTAACTTCTAATGTGTGATTAGTATTCCTAAATTCTCCACAGGCAGTACCTGGCCTCCCTTGACTGTGTGCAGTGGGTAGGTGGTGCCCATGGCCCCAGGACCCAGCAGTCAATGGTGAGTGACAGAAGGAGGGATGTGGCTATGTACACAGGGAACTTTCCACTCCACAGTGGCAGCCCCTGATCTTGCCCTTAACGTTCACAGGAACTTCACAGTGGTAATAAGCGCCTTTATTTCATCAAATGTGGACATAGGCGCAGGCAAGGCCTACACTGGGGCATCATTGCTGCACTGTCCCCCGCAGAGCCCATTTGTGCAGCCCGATGTGTGTACTCACTGAAGCCACAACTTCCAGCAGCCTCAGCCTGGTAAGCTCGAATGTCTGTTACTGGGAGGCTTAGAGAAAGTGCTCATGTTCCACCCCAACTCTCTGCCCCTACATGGCTCAGAGGCTTGTCCCCTATTTACATTTGCCACTGTCACTGCCTCTCCTCACTCTCAATCTGAGCCTGAACTGTCAGGCTGCTTTTTGAAAACAGAAATATGAAGAAACAAAGTCTTAAAGGATGAAAGCGCCAGCAATGAGGCCAGGAAGAGAACACCCAGACTTGTGAATAGATTCTTCTGTCTATAGTTACCACTTCTCGTATTTGTTGTCAGCCAAGCATGGGGCACTCCCTTCCTTGTCTCTTCAAATTACACTTTCCAAGACATTAAGAAAAGCCTTGAATAGCTGCCTAGGCACAAATGAGCAAGGGTTTTTGCTCTTGGAACAGGTTGTAGGCCTATAGGTCAGGCCAGCTCCTGGAGCCATCATACGCTTATAGGAAGAGGCTCAGACCCTTTGGGTACAAGGCCAAGGACATGTCCAGGTCAAAGAAAGGAGACAGGGGGCAACTGCAGTCTCCCTGAGGGATACCAGACACAGTCCACAACAGCACTGCCTATGGCCTCCTGAGATGCTTTGAAAACTATAATGAAGTACGGAAAAGAAAAGATAAGGTATTTATAATCTACCACCCTTCACTACGTCTGACATCACATAGGCAATGCCTTGACCTCTGAATGACGTTGGCTATTTAGAGAATCCTAGGGCCAGGCACTGTGGCTCATGCCTATAATCCCAGCACTCTGGGAGGCCAAGACAGGTAGATCATTTGAACTCAAGAGTTGGAGACCAGCCCGAGCAAAAGCAAGATCTGGTCTTTAGTAAATAAAAAATAAGCGGACATTGTAGTGGATACCTGTAGTCCCAGCGGCAGAGGCTGAGGCAAGAGGATTGCGCCCAACAGTTTGAGATTGCTGTGAGCTATGACACCACAGCGTGACAGAGTAAGACTGTCTTTAAAAAAAAAAAAAAAAAGTATCTTGGAAAATGGGAAACAGGAAGAGAAATATATCTTTTTTTTTTTTGGCCGGGACTGGGTTTGAACCCACCACCCCTAGCATATGGGACTGGCACCCTACCCTTTTGAGCCACAGGCACTGCCCAGAGAAATATATCTTTAGAGAAAATGTAGCTAAGTTCCCAGGTTGGTCAGAAGGCAGCTGATAGAAAGGCCTGCAGGAAAGGGACACCACACTCTTAATCCTGCCTGAAAGTGGCTGCCTCTGAGAACACACAGTCTCAGCCTTTGCTGATGATTGTTTTAACAGCTTTAATATTTTTCATTGTGAAAAAAATTCACACAAAGCCCGCACATACACAAATAGAGGAAATAGTATAATGAACTTCCTTAGACCTATCATTAGATCCATCATTGCTCCAATGATTTAAAAAGTAGCACAGTAGCTTTGCCTGTTAGAATTCCACACAGAAGAGATTATATGCACTCCTTTACATCTATCTTGTTTAATTCAGCCTAACATCTGTGAGAGCCATCATTGCTACAGGGTCCATTAGCCATTTGATTGCAATACAGTATTCTTGCAAATGGATATACTGCAGTTTGTTTATCCATTCATTATTGTTGATGGACATTTGGGGTATTTCCAGCTTGGGACTAGAATAAAGCTTCTATGTACACTTGGGTACAAATCTTAGCATTTTCATTTCTCAACAAGACAACTTTTGATAAACCTTTTGTTTGACATCCTGAACATCCTTCCTAGGACAGAGGTTCTCTATACAGAAGAAACAGTTGTGCTGACTTGTGAGCTATCTTAGCATCACTCAGTGTCACTTAGGTTTCTGATTACAGATTATCTTGGCTGAGTTGTATCTTTGAGCAGGTAATACATACACTAGAAAGTAAATTCTGAAGTACCAAAGGCAAAGACTGAACTCCTACAGGTGCCTGCCACAATGCCCAGCTAATTTTTCTTTTCTTTTCTTTTCTTTTTTTTTTTTTTTGAGACAGAGCCTCAAGCTGTCTCCCTGGGTAGAGTGCC